TTTACCTGGGAAATGGGAAGAAGTGTATAAACTAAAGCACCAAGAAAATAGGACAAGACTGTGGCTCCCATCCCCCCGTCGGGAAGCAACTCAAAATACTACTGTAACCACACTGAGAAGCAAACTTTCCCATTAAGTCCCAAGGATTCTATTCTGTAAATGTTGCAACAAAATTAATTCAGGTGTATTAAAATAGGTTGGAGATCACTACCAAGGACTTATCTATGTGACTGTTTTAATTTATGTTATGTTATAATTTTCGTTATTAATCATATGCATTTTTACTACATTTAAGATTTATACATGTTACATGACTAGGATGATATGACAAATAGGCTGAGAAAGTTCAATACTTCTTCATTTTTTCTATGTCCTTTCTGGTACCCAAGGTCTTCAGAAGTCATGGGGCCCCCTAGTTTCTAGTCACTCAGTCATGAAACATGTATTATTTCCTAATCACCAACTATATGCAAAACAGGGCTTGACTTACCAAGGACACACTAAGAATGACTCGCTTCTTCCTCATAGCAACCTGGTAGGCAGAACCAGCAAAGCAGCTGAGAACAYGCTTTCACAACCCTGTGCGGGAAGGCGGAAGGTGGCCATCACGAGCAATGGAGCAGCACTTCCCCCAGCCCAGGCGTGACCCTGGTAAGCCTGGAAGGAGCCCTGTGGCTAATGGGACACAGCTGCTAGTGCTCAGCCAGCTCACCAGGCTCATCAGGACACAGCCCAAGGGACAATACTGAGCTAAGGCATGCCCCATGTTTCTTTGGGAGGACAGGCAAAGGTGTTAAGTGACAGGATCAAATTCCCAAAGCACCCTGGGAGGAACCAGCCAAAATAAAGCCCAATAAAGTCTGGCACACCATGGCAGGAGTAGGGAACAAAGAGCATAGGGCTGGTGGCCAGAAAGCCACCAAGTCAGAGAAGCCCAGAGGCGAATGCAAACTCAGAGCACAGCAGCACAGCAGCACAGCAGCAGGTGGCCAAAAAGGATGTTCCTGCTCTACTCTGAAAGGTCAGGGGCAGGCAGGGCACTGGATCCTAGGCCCAGCTCCTATAGGGACTGTTCCATAACTAAACTACCTCTATAAAAGGATGTGTTCTAAAGGCCACCAAGACAGTAAAATGTGGATACACAGGTAGAATTAGGTCAATCCCATTAAGTCAAAAACCTTTCTAGTTCTAAAGGCCATCTAAAAGGTAGCACTCCCACCCCTTACTGGCCATGCCTGGGTACTGCCAGAAGACCACCTCAGAAATCGCACAAGAATTCGGGCATTGAGGAAGGCTGGGCCGGGCTGTCCATGACTTCCACATCCTGGTCCTCTGGGGACATTCTCAGTGCTCCATGCAACAGGAGAACGGATGGGCACATGGGCGTGCAGGTAGCTGGGTACAGATGTTCTCTCCAGATGGGAAGAGCCCCCTGCAGTCTGACAGCATATACAACCTTTGGTTGTATCAATACATCTTGATGAAATGCTTAGATGATGAGAGTAACTGCTATTATTAATTTCAATATACTTCTATTGCAATATTAAATGCAGACAAATATGCCCATCCCTAAAATTTGTGTTTTTTTTTAATTTTACAGGAGGATGGAAATAGAAAGTGTAAAATAAGGAAAAGATAACCTTTAAGGTCCTTTCTGACCCAGAGATGCTAAGACAATGACACTCACTGCATACCCTCTTCCTTCCCAACACTCGGGTCGCCATGCAAGGTCGAACAGGGATAAATACAGAAAGAAGCCAATCACACTAAACACGACATCTTATAGGAAAGAGGGCCCATACAGCTGGTCAGACCTGGCCCCATTCCAGGATTTCTGCTCTTCAGAACAAAGCTTATGAATCAAGTTCAAAAAGGATCAAAATAAATTATCCCTGAAGTTGTGAGGCATTTAAATTCTTACCAGACAGATACCTCTCCTTAAAAGGAGTCACAGGTAAATGCAACTGGAATAGAAAAGTTCTGAATCACTGACTTCAAGGTAAACCAAGCAGCTAATACCCAAAACAGGTTTCAAACACAAACGTGCAAGACCAAGAAAGACACAATCAGGAAAACATAAACTATCCCAGCCTGACATTTGCATTACTGATAATTTTAAACAATAAAGCAACCTAAACTTCTGGTACTGAAGGAGACTGTGGAAATAACTAATCCCAACTCATCTGTGACGAGCAGTAGAGGAAGCTTGCTCCCCCGGCACCCCTCCACCACCCTGCCTGGTGCCTTCTGCCCACCCTGAAAGGGAGGCAGCTGTGTTGACAGAAGCAGCAGAGCCACAGTTCTGGGTTCTTTAGAGCTCTGCTTCCTACTTTACTCAGGCTTAAAACAGAGAAGAAGAGCTAAGCTTTTCAGTTAACAGTAACAGCCTAACTTTTCTTCCAACCTAGTACGTCTTTGGAAGCTTATAACCCTAAAGCACCATTGCAAGAAGATCAGCTCTTCAAACATTAAATGACTCCTCAGTTCCAAAAGGTAACCAGGGCATTGACCCCTTGGGACTGGGGAGCAGGGGCTGCACACAGGTGAACTTGCAGTTCTTCTCCATGATGCAGTCAAGGATTTTGATGTCCAAAGTTTTAATTACCAAACCATCACTCCTTCAAGATACCTGCTACTATTTCCTCACTTTCAGAAATGGACAGATTTTCAAAATTAATAACCCACTTCTCCCCTTGCCTCAGATAAATAGATTCCAAGGTGGACAGCTGTTGACTGAGCTCAGGTATCAGGGAACCCCAGCCTCAAGGGAAAAAAATAAGAAACCTTCAAATCCCATGTTATACAGCTTTAACTACCATACTGTCACAGATGCCAAGTCATGACAATCTGATCATTTCACTATTAGCTAAAAGTTACAAACAATAAAATTTAAGCTCTTTAAGAAAGCCTAACACTTAAAAACATAGAAAGCATTTTACGAAAAAAGCCATCTGGGGGAAATCCCAGGCCCTGCTCCAAAGCCAGAAGCTCCACCCCACATGTGTATCCCTCTCTTTATTTTCTGGACCAAATGCTTGCACTGCATCTTGCCCAAACTCCCCTCACCCCATCTATAGGCAGCAGGTGGGTACTGATAAAAAGCTATTCCTCATTTCACTTCACTCCCTACTTCCCAGATGTTTGCTCAGTAGCTTTTATTTTTTCCTTCAGCTACTTATGAATACACTCTAATTTAGAACAAACAAATTCAATGTGTCATAGTTTACGCTGAGCAAGGCACACAATAAATGACAGCTATAAAGATAACTTCAAGATATTTCTCCTGCTTATAAATAAGTCTGCCTACCAAGGCAGGATTTAAACAGGCTGCTGCATTCTTGCTTTAGAATCAAGTATTTAACAGCATAACTGAGAGACGGCTGCCGCCAAACCGGTCAACTACAGGCAATTGTACCTGTCACAAAAGGTTTGTGCTCAGAAATGAAGATGCAACATCATCTGGGGAGAGGAAATGAAGCCGCCCGACACAATCCCTGGTGTGAATCATGCAGACACACTCCAACTGCACCTCTTCCCAAATGCATCAGCTGGTCTCCAGGAACAATCCCTGCAGTGTATGCTCACAGCTCAAGAAAGACTGCCCTTTCCCGCGAATTATCAGAGAGACATATCAAACAGCAAGATCATATAAGAGGAAACATTATCTAAACAGAATTACAAAGCCCACCCAATAACTCTGAATTCCCCCATAAATAAATCAAAACGCGAAAGACATTCCTAAATATGTAATCACGGTAATCAAGTTCTCCTTTGAAATTCACCTTTGGGAATGCCAGAAATGAAAGGAAAGTTTTCCAAGCCTGCAAAATATTGGTTTGTGTACCTCTTATAGGGAAGAGAATATTAAAATAAAGAAAAGTCAACAACCCTGGAGATTTTCTTCCTTTCATTACTATTTGTAAGACTATAAAAATCACAATCTAGATTGCAGAGAGGCAACTCAAATGCGCAGTTTACCAAAGGCTTGTCATAAGAAAGCCATCTAGTGTTAAAGTTTAGAAATGAAAACTGCAGACAAAAGAGGCAAAGAAAAGAAAAATTTGTGAGACTATTTTGAACTTACTGAGCAAACCCATGAAAATCGCCAAGGTTTTTGTTTGTTCGTTTTCCTTTCTAAGCCAGCCCTGTCCACTCCAAGGCGAACTCTCAAACTCAAAGCAAAGCCCCCAGGTCTACAGTGCCGTTTTGTCCTGGGAGCACAGTTCCCCGCCCGGCGCGCCCGCCGTTTCCCACACTCGGGCTGGAGTCACCCCCCGAGCTGAATTATCTCGGCGAAGCAGGTTAATGATGACAAATACCTCCCGGGGGGCAACGCCAACTTGTTCCCGGCTCTCGCTCCGGAGGATAAGCCGCAATTGATTCCTGGGTTGCCGCGCGGCTGAGATTGATCTGAGGGCGCGCGCGGGGACATCCCGCACGCAGTGRGGCGCGGGCCGGCCGGCGAGGGAGGGCGCGGGCCCGCGCTCACAAAGGGCCCGCGGGCCCSGGGACCCACCCCGCAAGGTGGCCGGCCCGCACGCCCAGCCTCGCCGCCGCAACCGCCCCGGCCCGCGCTCGGCGATGGGCACGACCCTTCGCCGGTCGCCCGGCGYTCTGGAGACCCGCGGCCCCCGGCTCCCTGCGCAGCGCCGGCTCGCGCGCGCCCGCCGCCCAGCCGGCGGCTCCCCCGGGACGGTCCCCGCGCCCGCCACGCACCTCAGAGCCGCCGTCCCCGGACCCGCTACGGCCCGCGCGCACAGGACGCGCCGCCACCTCGCCGCCCGCCGCCGACCCGCGCGGCCCATCGGCCCGGACTCCGCGCTGCGCTCAGGCGGAGGCGGCGCACCGCGGAGGCAGGAGCTCTGGCTGCGCGGGCGGCGGCGCTGCGTCCTCCTGCCCGGCTCCGGCTCCWGTCCGTCTCCTCGCCGGCTCCCGCCGCCGCCCGCCGCCCGGCGCCGCCCCCGCACCGCCCGCCGCCTCCCATTGGCCGGCGTCCGGGAATGCCGCCTCCTATTGGTCGCCGCTGGGGCCTCGCCCCGCCTCCGCGGGTGCGCGCGCCGCCCTTCCGTCCGCGGCTCGCGCAGCGGTGCGCGGTTCCCAGGCGGGCGGCGGGAGGGGCCGCCCGAGGCCGCGGTCCGCTCCACCCTCGCAGAGACGGGGCGGGCCGGGACCCGGCCGCGCTCACCCTCTTGCCCGAGTTGCGACGAACGCCCGCCGGCTTTCGGATRGTGCGCCCGGGGCCTGAGCGTCGCCGGCCGGAGCGAAAGCAGGCGGGGGCCCTGCGCGGCACCCGCCCCGGACGGCTGGGGGTCGCGGCGACCCGCGGTGCAGAAACCAGCGCCGGCCCCCTTGCCGAGGCGGCGCCGCCACCCGAGGCTGGGAGGAGCGAGGCGGAAGCACTGCGTTGCAGGCGCCAGCGGCGAGTCGCGGCGCCGGGACCTGTCGGCTGGGAAGGCGCGGCCCCGGGAGAGCGGGAGAGGCGCGGGTCTTCGCCTAGCTGCGGGGAAATAACTTTCCGTTTTCTACTTTCCCAGGAGACGCGCATCACCTGCGAGGAGGCCTCGCCGGAACCATGAGTGTGCATCACTGGATCCCGACCTGGGCGCTGGAAGTTCGGCGGCCTCGGGGGAGTCTTCCGAGCGTGGCTGGAGGTGACGCCGCCCGCAGGGTGCCGTGGGAGTCATTGCCCGCGGGAAGCCGAGGCGGCAGGTGCGGGTCGCCGCTGACCTGCGCCCAACCACCGTGGCCTGTCCTAGCGGGCTTCGCCGCGACCGAGCCAGGGGCTGTGCCCAGCCTGGGTCGGGCGTCCAGTTGAGGAGACAGAATTCTTCCCGAGAGGTGTTCTCTTTGCTCGCCGCTCAGGCACGTCCAGGACACAGCCCTGGTAAAGTTAAACAGGGCCTCCCGCGCCGTATTTCTCTGTGAACACACCGTACAGTCCTTTGTATCTTATTTTTAAATGGGCATGATGTATGGCAACGGGTGTAATAAAACACGTCGGGCAGCGATCCTGTGTCAAGATAAAATTCCTGAGTTCTCCGAATTTGGGGGCTTCCTGTCACCTCATAATCAGCATTTCAAAGACCGTCGTGTATTCATTCCACTAACATTTAAGGATACGCTAAAAGACCTGCTGCTCGCGTCCTCGCTGGAAGGTCTTCTTCCCAGCAGGCCGTCGCTGGCTTTCCAGGAAGGGAACGCAGCCTTGACCCTAGGGCGGAGACTGCAGGAGCTCAGCACCTGTACAGATACCTGCACAGCGCTTTGCTGCCTCGGGTCTTCCTGAAAGAGTGCCTTTTCTAGGAAAGCTGTAGGTTTTGCCTAAATTTTAAAGAAAAATATCAGAATCGAAGTATGAAATTGGGGTTACCTAAAAGCTCACGTGAGCGTATCTTCAGTCTTTCACCTTCCCTAAAACCGAAAGCGGCTCCCTTCGCTGCTTAACCCCCACTTGCCGCCCCTCAAAGGCCTCCTTCCTCTTGGAAATTTCACCATGATCCAGGGCAGCCTAAAGAAACACTATAGGGATGACTTATCTAGAATTATGCCTCGGTACGTGGACTCCTTCTGAAGTAAATCCAGCGGCAGTCTTACCTCTTTTCCTCTAGGAAAAACAAAAGGGGTAGAGTTCAAAGGCAAACCAGCTATTTACCCTGTCTTAAGGACTTCCGCTTGTGYGCTGACCTTGCATGCTGCTTGTACTTATTCACCTTTGAATTGAGCAAAACGAGTTTTATTTCCATAATAAACCACTGCAAAATTCAAGCTACAATAACGTGCACACACTATAATAAACCTGAATGGCTAATAAGGGTTTATATTCCTCCTTCTCTGTTCTACTACAAATCATTTTTAAAGTGTTTATTTAATATGAAATGGATATTCATAATTTGCAATAACTAGGTACTGATTAYTTAGACTGTTCAGGGCATTGTTTTAGATGCATGGGACCCAAGGGCTACTGACCACCCTGAAAGAATTTCAGAACAAGCAGAGCTTAAGCAGGTGTTCAGGACCGCCTGTGGGTGGCGCCCATGGAAAGCAGAGAGCCTGTCCTGCAGATAAATCAAGGGTCCAGTGGGCCAAGGCCTCCTGACCAAGGCTATCAGAGGGCCAGGCAAGAAGGAGGGAAAGAGGCAATCTGCTGGCCAGGGAAGCATGGGCAATACACCTAGGAACTAATTGCATAGGCCTGTCTGGGAAACAGCAGTGCCCTCTAGCCAAGCACAACTTACCACTTATGTAACCACAGTTGCCTGGCACTTCATCTGCCAAGTACAGTTTGCTTCTCAGAAAGTATGTCCTCCCATGCAGTAGAGCATGTCAGGAGCATGTGAACCTCTCATAAAGCACAGATGTGTTTAGATATGGTCTAGTAAGTAAAATAAAGTAGCAGTCCTGCTGAAATTTAAAAATGCTTTAGTGCAGCTCAGAAAGCCCTGGTGTTGTAATATACCAGTAGTCCTGATAGCAGGAAAGCATCTGTTTCAGAAGAAGGGAAATCAAAAGAGTAATGTAAGAGTTATTGAATACTGTCTCATGGTATAAGTCCACTCTATCTCTAGGAGCCCAACAAGCCCCCTAATAAAAATTCAGCTCTACAAATACATTGGAGGCCCACTCTGTGCTCCTTTGTGCTCTGGGGGCCACAGAAGYGTCCTATGTTTAAATAGTAAGGCCATTCCCAGGGAAGAACAGGAGTGCTCAGCTGGGATTTTTGCACGGGAAACAATTCTAAGAGCAGTGCAAAGGCAATGCATTTAAAATGTGCATGCATGGAATTTAATATTGCATAGAASATGCCATAGAGATCTGGAAAGGTGACACTGGATGGAGTAAGCAGGCTCAGGGACAAATATCCTCCCGCAGGGAAATGTTTCTACATTCTTCATTGTATGCTTCACAAGCAAGAAGTCCTGTATACTGGTCTTTGCTGTAATGTGCCCAATCCCATGTATCTCCAAGACCCTTYCAGGACAGGTGCTTTACTTTCTAATGATTCAAACTCTTGGCCATTGCAATTCACGTTTTCCTACTCCTAGTGTCTCATCTTCACCAATCCAAGCTTACTGCTGAACAGCTTGTATATATCTTATTGCCCTCAAATGTGTCTTCTGCCCTCTTGCCTCACCAACAAAAGAAAAGGGGAGAGGCAGGCAAGGAGGAAGGGGGAAAAGGAGAGAGAGAGAGGAGAGAAGATGGAAGAGAAGGAAGGATAAAGAGGGAGAGGAGTGGGGGAAGAGTAGAAACTGCATGGGACCAGAAGCATCCTCCAGCATATCCTTACTTGGGTAGCCCAAAGAGCTGGGTTCTTTAGAAGCCCACAGACATGGGAATCGAACCACCCTGGCTCTGAACTGGTTTGAAAGCTTATTAGATATGTAACCATAAACAAGTTACATCTCAATTTTTCATTTATCTCATCTTAAAAAAACAGATAATAAAACCTCTGAGATAAAGATGCTGTTATTCTGCAGCTCCACAGCTGGCACGCTGTGATCTCCAGTGTGGACCATGACCACTGCCTGCCCCTATGCAGACCTGTCAACAGGAGGGCTTGGTTGGAAGCTGGCCAGTGTGTCAGGGATGGAAGCACTGAGATGAAGCACTGTTGCTGCTTTCCTGTGTCCTCCATAGCCAACTTAAAGTTGATGACTTAACCCTCCACGTGACATGTTGCCAGTTGGGACGCACTTCTCTGGAGCCAGTGTTCTCTGGGTTCCCCTGTTCATAAACACGGAGTCAGCATGTTCATTGAATGGATCTAGAGCAGCTGCTCCCTGTCCACTAGGTGGCGTCTGTCAACAGGAAGTTTCCAAAGCACCACAGGTATGCTGCCAGGTGACCATTCTAAGGAAATAAATAACAGAAAAGGTGTGTGTCCATCTAACACATATTCACTTTCTACATGTTATTTATTTTTAATGGTATCTATGAACCTAGAGCTGTGTTTAATTTGGCAAACCATTTTTCTTATTTTAACAATCTTCTGTAACATTTTAAAAGTGATTAAGTAAACTCTAAGCAACCTCAATGTGCAAGACATTTCACAGTACCTGGTGATGCCTATCACTGATTGACTTATTTGGGAGCACGCCTTCATGTCCCCATCTCTGCATAACAGGAGATGGCTCTTATTCAACATTACTGACTAAAATTCAGTGTGGCATCAGGGCACCAGCCAGTGCCTCTGATTTTATTACAGCATGACCCGACWGACCTCGTACCTAGATGCAGCAAGTCCTGCTCACGGCACAGACACATTGGTCCCATTGCCCTGTGGGTGGTGGCAGAGGCAACCATAGAGCCCATAAGCAGACCAAGGTGGTGAGGCAGAGGCTCTGGGAGGCAGTGGTGTCCTACAGAGACAACTGGACTGATGTTGCACGGTGTGCCCAGGGCACACTGCAGAGATACCAGCAGATTCAATCCCGGGTGTAGAAACTCATCCCCTGAGGACGTCAGGAAAAGAAAGGTGATGTTTTTGTGGAGAATTGGAATTCTGTATTACCAGATAGGGCACAAGCCTGGAAAGACAAATGGTAGCTCTGGACATGGCCCTTTTGCAGCTGAAGCTGGTCTTAGGGGTCTCCAGTGGCACAGACGTCTACTGCCCATGTTCCCAGGTTATACAGAGACCTTCTTGAGCTCTTGGTTATTGTCTCACTGACCAAGGCTGACAGTGAGGGAGCTGATCCCCTGGGCACCTCTGCCACTGTGCAGAAAGCATGAGGACAGCCAGCTGGTGGGATTGTTGAGACTGTGGCTCAGACGGAGGCCTCACTCCTCAGCTTTGGCCTCCCGAGAGTGGAAAACCTATAWAATGCAAACGGAGCTTTTACCTCCACCATGCAGAGCCAGAACCCCAGCCTCGCGGTGATCTCACTGTGCTGGCCTAGTCATCTCTCCTTCCCTTCCTGTCTCCTTCATCAGCCCAGAGGAAATGAGGAAGCTGGGTGTGGGTGAGTGTTGCAGGTACTTATGGGTGAGTAATCGTGACAGAGTGGCCTCTCCGGCTACTCTCACAGTGCAAAGCCATCGCAGGAGGGTCACCCATCATATTCACTAGCCATAGCTTCTCTCCGTGCAGTAGCCGGAGTCATCAATAATGGAGTATGATCACTCCCTCCTAGAAGGCGAAATACAACACAAAGCCATGTCATCTCAGACGGAATTTCTTATGTTAGTGTGTAGTTCAAGACTGTTTCTGATTGCTCAGAAATTGCTCACCAAGGATAGTCTCTGCTGGCTGTTTCCCCAGAGCAGGAGTGGTACCTGAAGTTCTGTAGCACCATGTTCTTCCACAGACACAGACAGTAGTCAGCCAAGGACCCAAACCATGGAGCAGGTCACCAGCCCCAATTGGCTCATTGACTATGCTCACCATACTCCCTGAGCCAAACTGCCCAAGAAAAAATATGGACCTGTATGCCCATGTCACCCATCTCCATACAAACCAGTGGGGCCTTGCACACAGTAGTGCCTGGGAGTGCCAAGCACACACCACACTGCACTCCATTGGCTGCTGTTCTGATCCTTTTGTGTCAGTGGTTTACCACCAGGGAACCACTAGAGGGGACGCATCCAGACAAGACAACGTTCAATTATTATCTTCAGGGTTCCCACTTGGAAAATTGGCTAGCATTCATGTGGAGCAGTAAAATCAAATTTGCTGGCACTTGACTCGCACTTCATGGATACAAAGAGAGGAAGTTGGGGGGAGGGGTTTGCCTGGAACAGACTGGGGGAAGGGGGAGGGCCTGAAGGGGAACAGATACCAAAGAGGAATGTGCATCTGTAGGTGCTGTCCACCACAGTGCTGAGCTGGTTCCTCCCAAGCACCCTGCTGTTGGTGATCTCAGCTTGTTAAGTGCTCTCTGGAGATCAGAGCACCTCTCCAAGATTATCACTTCTGCACATGTGTGTATTGAACTCCTCCTACATTCTGGCTACCCTCCGAGGAGAGCAATGCCATAAGTCTGCCTATCTCATAGGTGAAAGGGGTTCATATCTACTTTGAGGCTGAAAAGTCCCCAACGAGTATAGAACAGGTGACAAGAATATAAAACAACCCAAGGATAAATGCCCACTCACTCTTTCTAGTCATCTGTCCATACATACATACAC